AAAAAAAAAAGCATGGATTTATTACACATAGTCCTTCTCACAGTTTTTGTACAAATCCGGACAATTCCCGCCACGAACGACACTCTGAACGCCTCCGGGAGCATCAGAGATGGCGAAAGTTTAGTCTCGTCGGGAGGGACCTTCGAGCTCGGGTTTTTCTCCCTCCGAAACCCGAGCAGACGGTATCTCGGAATATGGTTCCGAAACATAACCGTCCGGACTTACGTCTGGGTCGCCAACGGCCCGACCCCGCTCGGCTCCGGTGGTGGTATACTACGCTTCGTGGGCCCCACCGGCAATCTCGCCCTTCTCGACGGTGGGCTCAATGGCACGATTGTTTGGTCGACCAACTCGTCGGGCTCGGGCTCGTCCGCGCGGCTCCTCGACTCGGGGAACCTCGTAGTTCAGGCCGCGGGCCTGGAATCAGGCCCGCCCGCGTGGCAGAGCTTCGAGCACCCGTCCGACACGTTCCTCCCAGGGATGTCCTTCGGCGTGAACTACGTGCGGGGGATCGACGCCCGCTACACGTCGTGGCGGTCCGCCGACGACGACCCGTCACCGGGGGACTACACGTCCCGGCTCGACCCTACGGGCTACCCGCAGATATTCTTGACGGGGCCCGGTGGGCGGGTCGTGAACCGGGTCGGGCCGTGGAATGGGGCCCGGTTCAGTGGGGCCGTGGGCACGCGCAACAACCCGAGCCTCCGGATGAGCCGGGACGAGGTGGTGTACACCGAAGACAACGAGGACCCGTCGGTCATCACATTACTCAAGGTCGTCCCGTTCGGGGTCGTGCAGAGGTGGACGTGGGACGGCGGCTCGTGGGTCGTGAATTTCAACCTCACGAACGAGCCGTGCGACTCGTACAACCGATGTGGGGCCCACGGGTTGTGTGATGATGGAGGGTCGTGCGGGTGTCTTGACGGGTTTGTACGCCGGCCTGGACTAGGGTGCGTGAGGAGGTCGGAATTGAGGTGCTCGGGTGATGTTTTCGAGAGGTACTCTGGGATTAAGTTGCCGGATGCTCGGAATTGCACGGTGAATGGCGAGGCGACGCTACTTTCGGATTGTGAGGCCGAGTGCTCGAGGAATTGTAGCTGCACGGCTTACACGGTGCTCGATATACGAGAATCGGTTAGCGGCTGCCTATTTTATCATGGGGACTTGGTGGATATCAAGGCCATGAGGCAAGGTGGGCAGGATCTTTACATCAGGCTCGGTCCGGGCGGGTTGGGTGAGGATTTTAGTTTACGGGTCGGTTAGGTCATTTTTTTTCGGGTCATTTTACGGCCACTTGTGTTAAATTTGGTTTTGTTTTGTCAGGCTCTAAAGGGAATAATAACAGAGTGAAACTAATAGCAACTGTAACATCAGTTGCCGGAGTATCTCTTGTGGCCGTGGGCATCGTTTTCGTTTGTTATCGGAAGAGAATGAAGGATAAAAACAGGAGAAATTCGGGTATGGAACAAGCGAGTCTTTTCAGGATGACGAGTATTATCTTTTCTTCTCGTTTTTTTTTTTCCATGAATGCTTGCTTGCTTTCCCTGTCTCATGATGGATACACAACAGTTGCAGGGCCATTTAGTGGAACCGAACACGGTAAAGACGCGGAATTACCGTTCTTCGACTTATCCACAATCTCGAAAGCCACAGGTCATTTCTCGACACAGAACAAGCTCGGTGAGGGTGGCTTCGGACCTGTTTACAAGGTAAAACTAAAATCCGGTGATTCTCAAAATCGATAAATTGTTGCAAAAAAGACTTGAACCACGGCAAGTTAAATGAGATAGCAACATTACGCTACCTTTTTAGTTACATTCGCAAGTTTCGGTTATAGGGCACGATGGAGAACGGACAGGAAATTGCTGTGAAATGCTTGGCGAAAGCCTCCTCACAAGGGGTCGAAGAACTGAAAAACGAGTTGACCTTGATTGCTAAACTGCAGCACAGGAATCTGGTGAGGCTTCTGGGCTTTTGCATCGAGAGAGATGAGAACATGTTGATCTACGAGTACATGCCAAACGGTAGCCTTGACTTGATTTTATTTGGTGAGAGCCCTATAAAAGAAACTCACCTTATCACATAGATTCTAGAGATTACTCAAACAGTCGAACAGGCTTCTGACCACTCGTCAAGCATTTCTTGTAACAGACAAAACAAAAAGCTCGTTACTTGATTGGAGAATGCGGTTCAATATTATCAATGGGATTGCCAAAGGACTGTTGTATCTTCATCAAGATTCGAGGTTGAGAATAATCCATCGAGACCTAAAGGCCAGCAACATACTCTTAGATGCCGATATGAACCCGAAGATATCAGATTTCGGCCTGGCCAGGGGTTTCGGTGGGAGTGAAACCGAAGCCAAAACGCGCAGAGTCGTAGGAACATAGTGAGAACTACTAACATCAAGAAACTTTTTTTTTCCTCACTTAAAATCCCATCTCCTATTTACAATTCCTCCAAGACTTAAACTTTATATTCTCAATACTCATGTCAACAGTGGTTACATGTCTCCTGAATATGCAATAGACGGGCTTTTCTCGGTCAAGTCGGATGTGTTTAGCTTCGGTGTTCTTGTGCTAGAAATTGTGAGCGGAAAAAGGAACCGGGGATTCAGCTTGAAAGATCACAATCTCAACCTTGTTGCACATGTAAGCATGTTAGGTTTGCTTCTCAACCAATTGATACATAAGTTCATCGTGCAATGTTCGTGTTTGAGCTTTTTGTCCGGGATCTTGATGTCGTTTGTAGCTGAAAATTGTTTCTATCTCACAGGCTTGGACACTGTACAAAGAAGAAAACTTACGAGAGCTAGTCGATGATACTCTAGGAAATTCGTTCGACTTTTCCCAAGTGATGCGCTCAATCCACGTTGGGCTTCTGTGCTTGCAAAGACGTCCGGAAGATCGGCCGAGCATGTCATCTGTTGTTTTCATGCAAGGAAATGAAGTCGAGTTGCCTCCGGTTAAGGAGCCTGGATTTTTCACTGAAAGGGACGTTACAGCTGGCGAAGGCTCGAGCGGAACAAATGCATTTGCTTCTGAGAATCAAGTCACTGTTACATTGCTGGAGGGCAGATAATAAAAGATACAAATTCACTATAATTTATTTGTTGCTTGGAAGATGATTGATTCTCTAAAGAACAAGAATATTGGAAAAAAAAAAAAAAAATGTTCCAAAATGTTGTCCTTGAATCTCCTTGATGATTTCATCCAGATCAGTGAACATATTAATACATTAAGAAGCAAAAAATTTAAAAATATTTGTTCCTTACACCTCGGATTTCAGTTTCACCAATAATCCCGGCACGAACACTCCCCATCCTTGAAATGGTGAAACCTCACGATATCCCTTACAATAATCTCCCGGCCCAAGACCCTCGACATGTACTTTATAGCCGTATGGCAATCCACACACACCCTCAGATTCTTGGTCACTCGAATTGTGGTCCCGTGTGGCGTACTCACGACACCAAATGCTATCGCGAGCCTCTCACTATGAGTGGACAATACATACTTCTTTTGCTCCTCATCGACATCGTGCAGATCCGAATTTGTGTCCGGAACATAACCCTCTCGTTCGATCCTCTCCATGAGGTCCCGTAGAGCACCATCTATCCTCAAATAGTCCGGGTGGCTCACATCTCCCGAGACAAAAACATGCAGCTTGTTTTTCACCTCGACCCAGCTGCAAGCCGCTTTCTTTCTCAACCCTTTCCCTCTCATTTTCACCCTCAGCTTAGTGGCCGCACTCCACCTACCGGCAGCAACATAAACGTTCGACAGCAAAACGTACGCGCCCACGTTTTTCGGGTCGATTTTCAGCATTTCTTTCGAAACCCTCTCGGCAAGCTCAACATTTTTTCGGACCCGGCAAGCTGACAAAAGCGAGGACCAAATAACCCCGGTGGGCTCAACTTTCATCTCGGAGATGAATTTATAAGCCTCGTCTAATTTCCCCGCTCGCCCGAGGAGATCCGAGATGGCCGCATAGTGATCTATGCACGGGGAAATCGAATAATCCCGAGTCATGCTCGTGAAATATTCCCAAGCTCGGTCAACCAAGCCGTTATGGCTGCAGGCAGTCAAGACAGCAAGAAACGATGCGGATGTGGGCTTTACACCCTCGATTTTTTCCATCCGATCAAATAAGTAAATGGCCTCACGCGCGTTGCCGTGCAGTGCATACGCCATGATCATGGCCGTCCAAGAAATAGTGTCATGAGATTCCATTCTGTCAAAAAGCCACCTGGCCACCCGTAAGTTTCCGCACTTTGAATACATGTCTAAAAGGGAGCTGGCTACATATATGTTACTATCAAATCCCCTTCTGATTATATAGCCGTGCAGCTGTTTACCAAGACAAAGTGTCGTCAAGTGGGCACAAGCCGGCATTATGCTCGAAAACGAGACAGCCACTGGCTCGACTCTGGCTGCAAGCATCTCTCGGAACAGTTTTAGCCCATCGTCGAAACTCCCGTTCTGGACACAAACAGCCATCATCGAGTTCCAAGATACGCTGTCTTTGTGAGGGGACAAAGAGAAAACCTTGTATGAGTCCTCTAATTGTGAACAATTGGCATACATGTCGATTAAGCTGCTCCCGATGAACATGTCTTTGTCAAAACCGTGTCTAATTGTGTATGCGTGTATCTCTTTCCCCTTCGCAAGATTCACGTGCTGCGAGAACATCGGGAGGATGCTCGAAAGTGTGAAGGAATCGGGTTTCACGTTCGAGTTTCCCATTTGCTTCACTGTCGAGAGAGCCTCGATCTCCATCCCGTTCTGCAAGAGTCCTCCGATTAATGTGTTACAAGAGACAACGTCCTTAACGGGCATTTTATCAAACACTTTCCTGACACTATCCATTGGAAAAACTTCGTTTTTAACTCCATCTATCACGGTACCACCATTTGGTCCGAAATCGCCCCTGCAATTCTGATCAGCACCAACCCCTTCTTCATTTTTCACATTTTCTCTCGAATGATGGTTTTTTTCCTTGAAAATTATCGGTCGTCTCGGATGGAACCTACCATCGAACACATTGCGGGCACCCAACGGCTCCAACTTGGCATACATATTCATCAAAGCATTTCCGGTGAAAAGCTCAGCATCCAAACCGACCCGGACAGTGCAGCCATGCACGGCCTCCCCGAGCCTCAAGTCCCTCAAATGGACGCAGGTTTTCAGCAAAGAAGGGAACATATTCCCCGCCGGGCCTCTGCCGGAAGCCCACATTTCCTTGAAGAAACCGACGGACCCCACGAAATCACCGTTCGAGGCGCAGCATCTGATGATGGACTTCCAGACCTTGGTCGGGGGAGGCGACGACCCAAACGTGGTAAGGAGCGAGAGGCAGTCCTGCAAGAGGTCGAAACCGGCGTAGACGGAGATAATTAGACCGGTTAATTCGGATGAGCGAGAACCGAGTTCGGTAAGCTTGACGGCGTTCGCATGGACTTGTTTGGCCTGAGAACTCGTTTTGATCAGTGATGGGTTGTTGAGGAGGGTTTTGAGGGTCTCGGCGGCGTTTCTCATCGGAGTTTTTAGTGCGAGTTGTTGTTGTCTGTTATTCTCTCAAGTGAACCAGCTGTTTGTGAAAATGCCAGACTGAGGTTTTTCCGGCGATGATGAAAAAGATGGAGCCTTGACTTGAGCAACTGCACGCAGACAAACCAGATAGTCACCGGAAGACGCCGGTATTTTACCTGCCGGATAAAGGGTCCTTGTGATCGGCGATTGACGGCTGATTCAGAGGGGGCTAAAAAAAGGTATTCTTGTTGACATTTTAGTTCATATTCCAACAATTTTGACTCGAGTGACAACAAATAACTTGCAACCTTTTGCAAATTTTGGTATTCTTGTGTAATTTTTTTTTAAACTTATTTTTTTTTTAACATTTTTATTATATAACCAAAATTTTTAAAATTCCGTACACAATTGCTATAATAATAATAATTTCAATATTTTTTATCAAACCAATTGTTCATTTCTATCGCTTTGAAAAAAAAAAAACCAATTGTTCATAATAAAAAAATATTGCAAAAATTATATAATTACAATAGATATAAAGATTAATATGTAAAGTAATAGTTTATTGTTCATTTATCAATGATAAAATTTATAAAAAGTGATGTGCTATTATGTAACTTATAATTAAATATTATATAGACATATAACATATAAAATGTTATTTGTATTTGTGCGTGTGCACAAGATCGAGTGCTAGTAAATATGTGAATGAGACAACAGATTTGCAGTTATAAATATGTGAATGAAAAAATTTTTACTCAATAAAATATAGTAATAATAGACTTATTTTAACTATATTGATGAGAAAAAAATAAATAAAATCAATTTAATAATATTTTCTACGAACTTTTCTTTTCTTTTTTTTAATTTTTATTTAGTAACAAACTGTAACTAACCAAACAAAAATAAAATGAATCAAAGCAAAAATAAATAAAAATAGTTATATATAATCACTACCTTAGCACCGTTGAATATATTTCATTTGAAATACAGAATAAATTGCTATTTAAATTTATTTTATGATTTGTAATTTATATGCAGAAAAAAAAAAAACAGTTACACATAAGTTATAATTTATAAAATCAGGACACCCATTCACCTAAACGAGATCAAATGAAAAAACCATGTTGCTTCAAGCCGAACTTAACTTTTTAATTTTAACCATATCAAACCAAGGGAAACCACCAAATTTTTCACAATTGTTAATGCAAAAAATAAAAAAAAATAATAAAAAAAATTCTTCATATGCATGAAAGGTTCAAATTTCCCCCTCAAATGGCTACATTCAGAGACAAACATCAATCCCATATTATCATCATACGAAAACATCTGAACTTCTGAAACAGTCCAATTTCTAGCTCCCAATACCCGAAAAACCCCAAAAGAAGAGTCTTCAATCATCTTCTCTCTCGGGAGGAGGGCCGCACGGCGAAATCATTTTCTGCACGCGTTAAAATACATTACGTTAGCAACTTTGACGCGCATCGAATACAATTTAAATATCCAAAGAAGAAAAAGAAAGCAACTTTAACGTTCTATGAACTTATATGCTGGGCATAATTGAAAGAATCAAGATATTCTATGCAGTAAGTAAGTTGGGCATCTCTTGATTCCAGATTATTACAAAAAGATTCTATGTTGTTTTACAACTGTTTTCAGAAGAAACAAGCTTAACATAATTACACAAACACAAAGTGTCGAAACAGATGAATGCGTGAAATTAACCAAGTATTTTTCGAATGCTTTTTATATTAATGAAAAAACCATAATAAAAGAAAGATAATTCGCAAACACTATATACCCACACATGAAGACCTTATTCCAATCTTTGGGGCACAATAAGTCATTAGGTTGATCTAAGAACACGGAGACTGCTAATCAATCTAGAAAACTATCATATTCCTTACCATTGAAAATTTAAAGAGAATAATACAGTCCAAAAGTACCCACATAGATACCGACTCACATGTGATATTATTATTATAATAAGATAAGATCCAAGCGGTTAAAGATGAAAATCTAACCACCGCCGGCATGGCCAACAAAGATTTCACAATTTTTCGAATTCGTAAACATGCTAACGAAAAAATTAACAAGTTGAGAACAAGGATCCAACCAACTATCCAGTAAAAACTCTATTCCATTTGCAAGTACGGAACTTTATCTCTTCCACGACTAACAATTCCAGTAGCTCCACCCAAACAGGTAAAGTTGAACTTTTATCATGGCTAATCCAAACCAAAAGGATTCACTGTTGAACAGCACTACTAAAAAAATTGCAAGCTTCCAGAGCATTTAACAAAGATCTCACGCGTTTGAAACAGTGGCAAGTAAATCAAAGAAGCAAGACTACCCAGTCAGAATTACACATTTACGTCTCAAATCCACCGAAAATACCCATCAAACGTGTATCAACCTACTACCCCTAAGGGAAAAGCTAAATATATCCACAAATTAGGGAGCTTTCATAGCCGCTCGAAACTTCTACACATATGGCAACATACAAAATGCAACACTGGAAAATGTAATATATGTTATCGCACCTTAAAGAAAGACGGCCAAAAAAACAAACAAAAACATAAATGGAGAACTAGTGTCACTTAAAAAGTGGAAAATCAAAAAACCTGCATGAAATTATAACGCTCTCTCCCAATGGATTCGTTTTCCGCAACCGCAAAGTAAGCTAAAATCGGATAATGCCCAACATACGAAGCGCAGCTATCCCGGTGAATATTCACCGCCCATTCACTATCAAAACAAAACAAAGTTCCTCAAGAAATCAGAACTAAGTTAATCAAGCATGATAATTTTGCACCAAAAAATAAAAAATAAAATAAAAAATCCAATCAAACTTACAATCGGGTCAAGTCGGCATGCCCTGTGCCGACATATTTAGCCTGGAGATGCTCGAGCTGGGAGTTGATGTTAAACCTGTCGCTCGCCTGAAAGTATGAACAACCAAATCAGATAATCAGAGTGAGGATAAAGATAAAACAGGGGAAATAATTGCAGAGGAAGCGAAAATTAGGGTTTTTCAGAAGAGATTGATTTGATTAAACCTGCATAGCAAACCCTACTGTGGGAAAATGAAAATTAAACGGGATAAATAGCTGAAAATTAAACGGAAACTAGGGTTTTTAAAAAAGATACGATCTTGAATTTACCTGCATATTTTTTTGTTCTTGAGTAGAAGCTAGAAAGAGATGAGACCGGGGAGAATGCTACAGAACTTCTTGTTGCGGACTATGAGGCACTTCGAAAAATAGTTGTTAAAAGGGTGAGCATCGAAAACCGAAAATATAAAATTTTTTCCGAACCGAATCGCACTGAACTTGGAGGAAAAACCGAACCGAAACCGCACCGAAATTTCGGCTCGATTTGGGTGCGGTTTCGGGTAACCGACTGAAAATGGTCATTGTCGAAGAACACTAGTCCAATTGAAATAAGTCCCACCAAGTCGAAAGTGGATTTCACATTCTTCAATTGAAAAACTAGGCCCATATATTATTGTGTTATTTATTAGAGGATATTGCACCCCTTACTTCCCCTTCAAATTTTATTACACCTTTTCCACTCTAAATATATTTATTTTTATTTTTAGCTAAAGAAGATAAAAAAATTTCAAATATACCTAAAATCTCACTTAACATTTATTAACACGTTTTTAATGTAAAGAGAAGGAACCGCCCACCTTCTCCCATTCTTCTGCAGAAACCGCCCCAAACTTTATCCCCTTTTTCAAGAATCAATGTCAAAAACCAAACTCCCTCATCCTAATCGAAGAAATCCGGCAGATTTTGGCGACGTTTCGGTTGTTCGTGGCAGGGCTGCTGTTCTCGAATCGAAGAAATCCGGCGGGAGGAGGATGCTATTGACAGTGAGGTGGTCTTCGTCTTCTCGAATCGAATTCCCAGGGTCATCCTTATCGTCGGTTATTCGTGGCAAGGCTGCTGTTCTCGCGACTCGCAGGTCTGGTGGATGGACGTTCGCGGGGGAAATCGGCAGGAGTCCTTGCGTTCGATGATGATCGGTTGGGCTCGACTACTGCAGACGTGTGATGGTGAGGCGTTGCTGCTCATGCCTCATGTGGTAGAGCAATTTCTTGGCGGCTGATGACGAACAGATCTTGCATCAGAAATCTTTTGGTCTGCTTTGGGTTTAAATGCCTTTGCTGAAAAGCCAATATAAGATTTATGTAATATGTTGGTATATGTTGGGTATATCCGAGTATATCCGAAGTGACTTTTCTCTGATTATCTGTTTAATAATTCTTTTTTTCTTGGTGTTATATGTTGGGTATATTCGAGTATATTCGAAGTAACTTTTATCTGGAAGACTTGTTTTTTATTGCACATATATTGAATATGTACTAACATAAACTCAAAATATACCACCTGGCGGCTGCGTGAATTATAATATTGCGACATACACTGAATATATACTAACATAAACTCAAAATATACTACTTGGCGACTGCTTGAGTGGAATATATACTAACATAAACTCAATATATACTAACATAAACTCAAGATTAGTTTTTTCTTTTCTTTTTTCTCCTGGTAGACATGGCGGAAATCACGGGACCTTCAGCTGGAGTGATTACGTTACCTTGTAACTGATATTGATGCAATATAATAAATAAATTAGTTTCTTTAGGTATAGTTGTAAATACTTTCAGATAAGGGTAAAATTGAAAATATTTATTTATCTGATCGCATGGATAAAAATTTTCCTATTTATTACTTTTATTATTAAAGCCAAATGGCCCAAACCTAAGGCCCAAACGTCTGCTAGTGTATACTACATTACCAAAAAAAAAAAAGACACTTTAACATATTCGGTGCGGTTCGGTTAAAATCGCACCGACTTTTATGCGGTTTTTCAAAATTCTAACCGCACCTTAAACCGAATCCTTGAAAAACTGAACCAACCGCACCGAACACATCGGTCCGACTTGAATTTTCAGTTTCGACTCGGTTTTGATCACCCCTAATTATTGTTGTTTATTATATATACTATATAAATTAACCAAAAAAACTCGCATATTTACATACTACACAATACACATATACTTTTATATATTTCCTAATGTATATTTACAGACTAGTACAGCGCCCGTGTATTACACGTATACTTGCTAATTTTTTTCTTAAAATTTAAAATTAATGAGAAAAAATAGTTGAAAATTTAAATACCTTTTATAAAGATATATATTATTATATATTTAGTATGACACTTTTTATTTGTGCAACTTACATGTGTTATATTATAATAATTTTTTTTAACTTACAACATATAACTACATTAAGCATAAATATATCAATTGAGAAATAATTTTATTTTTTTAATGAATTTTAAAAAATATTATTATTTTTTATTATTATAAATATAAATATAATTTATTTATTTCATATGTACAATATGGATGTCAAATCAAAGATCATCAAAAGATGATTAATTTGATATATTATATATGTAAAACCGATATAAAATACAGAAGTTATAGACTTTTAAAATACATTTATAATTCAAAAGCTAATTGAAGGAAACAAATCAAAAGTCAGGGATATATTAGTCATTTAGTGCCTCAGTATGTAAAATTACAAAGAAATAAAGGGTTATATTAGTACAAGTGATATTAAAATATCTAAGTTATCTAAATAATATTTATGGAATGTTCAAACCTAAATTATTAATTATTAATATATCAATATTATTTGTTCAAACCTAATTACGAAGCATGATTCTTTGCCAAGTAGGATTCCGAAGCACCAAAAGCAACCACGTAGACTCAGCGCATTCGGGAATAATATATATGGAGGATTTTCGCCACAATTGAAATATAAACCAATTTGGTTTCATTTTAATTACTAAATAAAGCAATATTTGTAGCATAACTAAATTATTAGAAGATTTTTTTATTTTTTTATTATTTTCCCAATTGCAGATCACCAAAGAAGCGGTTATGTAATAATCTGAATACACAATAATCACAATACATGTGATTTTACTATTCATATTTGTTATTAATTTAGCAATTTTTGTTATTAAGGAAGCATTTCTTATCTGCTTTTGGAAGTATAAGAACGATTGCAGTAAAAATAAACATATCTAGATTTCATTATTTTTGTGAATTATAGTGAACTCAGACAGTTACATATGAAATATTTAGTAAATAAATGGAATATTGGTAATGAGACAACTTCCACAGACCTCCAATATAACAGATAATTCTGTCAAACAATGCACTCAGTTTCTCAAAACTGTTTAGCCTTCGAAAAATCGATCCTATTAACAATAAATTAGCTTCTACAGATTCACGAACCGAAAATAATAATAATTATAATAATATTGCGAATCACCTATGATAGATGCCGGAGTAAAATTACGCTATACACAATTTACACAAAGACCGATCAAGGTTACAATTAAGAGAACAGACCCGACAAAACCTGTTCACTTCAAAAGAACATTAAAGCCTCGTTTGGGGATGTTATTTTTCGGCAAAAGTTATCAACTATATGAACAGATGAACTTCATGAACTTTAATATTCGCTTTTTGTCGAGGTATCAGATATTGGGGGTAGCATATTAAGGAAACTTCCCTGTTGAGCTGATGATGAGTTCGACTCCTCACCTGTTAATAACATAAGAAAACGGTACAATAACGAATGTTCTACTTCATGGTGTAATATATATAAAGAATATGATATAATAGCAGATGAGGAAAAAAAAAGGAGTATCTTACTGAAGAGGGATTTCACAGTAGGTCTTTTGGGTTTGTTGTTCTTCTTCTTCAGTTCAGCTGGTAGAAAAAAGTAAAGCCAATATAACTCAACGAGTCAGTGAGTTTTTCGTGTAACTTTAAGAGATCATCAAGGGTGATTCCAAATAGAGGAATTTTTACTAGAAACTGTGTTGATGTTAGATGATAAAGAGTTACATACTTATTCCTGGAACTTCATGATCATTAACAATTTCAAAGTTCTTGTAAGTGTAACCCATAAAATTCACATCCTTTGACGAAAGCATCTGCAGCCAATGAAGAGAAAAGCCAATCAGGTCTCGCTTATTACATCAAGAAAAAGTAAAATGTAATAAATGTTTTTCATTGGTCATGATGAGAAATCTTGTGGATATTTATATGTTTTTTCCAGAATCAACCGAATTCTCGTCACAATAATAAAACAAAAGCATAAATTTTAATTAAGCTGCACCCACCTTCCTCCAAGGGCCGGACTTTGTAGCTGATTGGACTTGATTGTCGGACTGGAAAAGACACAACATGAGTCAAAATAACCTAAAAAAGAAAAAAAAAATATTGAGAAGTTTAAGGTATACTAGAAAGAACAAAAACCTCTTCAAACTTTTCAAAGTTTTGAGTGTCCAGTTCATCATTAACTTCCGGTATGAAAGCAGCTTTCATTTGATATAATTTGTTCCACTCAATGCCTTTAAACCATGGATGAGCCTGGAAAAGGATGAAATAGGATAACCTAAATTTTTGCCACAATATATATAGCTATCTCTGTGTGTCTGTGTGTGTGTGCGCGCGCGAGAATTAGATGCAATCCAGAGCACCTTAATTTCATCAGCACCTCTTGTGCCAAGTCTTTGCTCGACATTACACAGGAGTTTACAGATAAGATCCTTAGCTTCCGCTGATAATTTTGCCTCTTCCGGAAATTTCAGATACGTTCTCCAGTTTACTATCTACACCAAAGATAAAAGGGTGACTTGTAAACATCAAGAAGCCTATACAAGTATAGTTTGGTTATAAGAATGAGAATCAGTGCAACATGAATTACGATACAGCAGCCTTTTTTTAAATAATAATAATAATAATAATAATAATAATAATAATAATAATAATAATAATAATAATAATAATAATAATAATAATAATAATAATAATGGGCTTTGGCTGATAATTTTGCACAAGCTTTGACGATAAATTTCTGGCATCAAGTGTAAAAAAGGGCTGGCATTCTGGAAATATTACATCCTCAAGTTGACTAGTGTTTTACTGAAAGGAGAACTTACGCCAATAAACCTCACAAATTCCATTGGTTTAATTAATAATCAATTTGATAGTTGGGATTAAATGTTCAAATTGGTATAAGCGGAAAGCTAGTGAGGCAACTCCACATCAGTACAATAAAGCATGGAG